CCCGAAAATGGGGTTGTCTGTATGTTTTCCACTATGAATGTGCATTCCCACCCCGCCTGCTTGCTAGCTCGACTATCAGCCATTTTGTGTTGCAATTCGGGGTAACGTGTACGGTTGTTGTGTTGAGATGCTTTGCCGCTTGGTGTCACATGTACCGATAAGATTCGTGTTTCTTTCTCTGCAGCAGTCCTTAATTCCTCTCTCTCTCGGTACACGAGGGCGCCTCTATGACTCCCGTCCACACGCGCCTCTGTGTGATAGAGAGGGATGAGATTTATATGTGCATGTGTTACGAATTAATAATGGTGATGTATGTATAAAATTTTGGTGATGCTTTAAAGACAGAGTGGGTTGGAGGCTAAGCGAAAGATATCAGAGTCGAAGGCGTATATGAAAAGAAGAAAAAATCTAAACAAATCAAGTTATAATGTGTGAAGTTGATGCTGCATTTTTGATTGTGTCAGTTATAGATAACTGAATTCTTGTGCATCTGGATGCTTGTGTTTGTGAGTCTGTGTGCGTGTGTGTATGGATGTGTGCATGTATGTGTGTGTGTACGTCTGTGTTTTCAAAAGAATAAATATATGTATGTGTCCTGGGTTACGGTTACAAGGAAGTTTACGTAAGTTTGTGCGCGCACGCGTGAGCGTGTATATATGTATGTGTGTGTGGGTGTGTGCGAATAAAGGTGGTAGGAATGCAAAATTGATTCTAATAAAAGGGCGAGGTGTGGGTAGGTTCATTCTGTATTATAAAAGGTATTTTTGTTTTATTACAAAGACGAATAAGAAAGGTGGAACGGGAATATATATATATATATATATATATATATATATATATATATATATATATATATATATATATATATATATAAAAAAGAGAGAGATAGGGTGAGGGGAAAACGCCAAGTAGGAAAGAGAGAGATGTAGAAAAGCAAAGCGGAGACGAAAGTGTTAGTTTATGCTATTTCAAATCATTGTGCACATGAATGTGCGTGTATGTGTATGCGCGCGTCAGTAAAAGCAGGTTATCTTGGAGAGAGACAAAACAAAAGAGAGAGAGAGAGAGAGAGAGAGTGAAAGAGGGTAAATTTGTTCCGATTATATAGTCGAACAAGATATATATATGTATATATATATGTGTGTGTGTGTGTGTGTGTGTGCATAAGAGAGAGAGAGAGAGAGAGAGAGAAGGAGAAACACAAAAGAAAGAAAGACAAAGAGTGAAAGAAAAGGGACTGAAAAATAAGTAGATAAAAGAATAGGCGATATATGCATCCATTGAATATCGTTATCATATAAGTGAGCATAAGTGTGAGAGAGATAGAGTTAGTGTGATATAAAAGAGGGGGTTTAGAGGGAGACAGATAGGGAAGAAAGTAGAGGGTAGAGATTAAGAAAGAAAGTAAACATGTTTCCATGTGTAAAACGTTTTCTCTCAATATAAGCTCGTCATTATCTCACTGTGTTGTTAGGGTAGATATCTTTTAATAATCGCTGAGATGTGGCTGTCCTTTTTTTTTTTAATACTTTCGAAGCTCATTTTGCGATTCATGTAAACTTTTGCTGCGTGAAAGCATAAAATATAAGGGCCTCAATCTTTGTCTGAAAACGTGTGCATGAAAGATGTGTTTGTGTGTCCGTCTGCTTTCATTTCGCTTTTCAATGAGTTGCTGAACGAATGTGCATCCGTGCAATTAAATTGATATAAAAATAATAAAGGGACAGAAGCAAGAGAGGCATAGACAAAGAGTTAGAAAAAAAGAGTATCAATATTGTTACATGTTTGCGTCAGATTATTAATGCATGTGTGTGTATGTGCGCATGTGCATATGTGTGCTTGCGAGTTTGTGCGTGTGTGTTATAGCTTTCTAATTTTGTTTGGTATTTTGCACGAGTATTTTTATCATAAATCCATATTCGAGAGCGCTAGCAAGGCAATAAAGTCACTGAGACGCAAATTATTAAAATATAAATAAATATATAAAAATATAAAATATAAAGTGATATATATATATATATATATATATATATATATATATATATATATATATATGAAGAAATATAGTTTTAAGGTGTGCTATATTTATGGGATAAAGCGTTAAATATCAGAGATATATGTAAATATAGTTTATAGTGTATCTAAATATAAATATAAAGGTGAACATTGAAGTCAACACTCACAGGCGACAGGCTGATTCATGCTGGACGCAATCGTCAATATATATAGTGAGAGAGATAGTGTGTGTGAGTTGGAGAGAAAATGCGAGAAAGATTTTTAGGTTTAAATCAAGGGAGAGTGAGATGCATATAGATAAAGAGAGCGAGAAATAAAACCCAATACTTTTATGCGTGAAATGAAAGGGGGAGATTTATATGGAGAAAGAGAGAGAGGGGAAGAAGAAAATAAATGTGTTTATAATTGTCTTTAAGCAACATAAACGTTTATTGTGTGTGTGTTTCGTGTGTATATGTGTGTGTGTCTGCATATGCGAGAGAGATACAGCGAGAGATGGAAATTGGTAGAGAGAGTACACACACACACACACACACACACACATATATATATATATATATATATATATATATATATATATATATATATATATATATATATATATATACTATAGTTCAAATTTTGATGCAACCCCTGGTAATTTTTTTAAATTGTCCGAAAAAGTAGTTGTTTTGCATTTTACATAAGAGAAAATTATTATGCATAGTTAAAAAAAGAGAGACATGAATTTTTATTAAAAATTTTACTATGACAAAAAGAAAAAAAAGCATTTTATGATAAAAATTTGCTCTCGTCAAAATATCCTCCTTTAGCCTTGTATAATGCAGCACAAAGTTTTGGCTTTCGTTGCAAAAGTTTCTCAAAGTATAAGTTTGATAATTGATTCCATTCTTTTTTCAGTTACTCTAAGAGATCTTTTTCATTTTTTTTTCGCTCTTCTGTTTAGTTCAACCCATGCTAATTCTGGTGGTGGCCTCAAACTTTTAAACTGTAGTCTGTATAATATATATATATATATATATATAAACTACACAAAATATTTAATAAAAACACCGTCAAACTAATCTACAGTTGTATGCCAAACGTAGCGAATTTAATCAATGGATTATAACAAAAAAAAAAAAAAGGGATAATCCACGCACTACTTCTAGATGTGTAACTGTAGAAACAAAAAAGCCTGCCTCCTCCAGGGAAAATGTCAACAGGAGTGCGTGGTATATCAAGTTAAAATATATAAGGACATAAATAACTACAATAATGATATAAATCCTAAAGTATACATAGGATCTACTCAAAATGTTTTAAAAACGATATTAAAACCATGAGTAGCCTTAATAATGAAAAATCTAAACATATTACTACACTATCCACCTATATATGGAACATTAGACGTGACAATAACAAAGACCCCATCTTGAAATGGGAAATATTGAAAAAATGTTCCAAATATAGAGCAGGTCATAAATTTTGTAAACTATGTATGGAGGAAAAATTAACTATTTCTTTATATAAGGAACCTGATGATTTATTAAATTCTAAAATGGAAATTCTAAGTAAATGTCGACATAGAAAACGTTGGTTTTTAGAATAGGTCTCCTCTTCCCAGTATATATATATATATATATATATATATATATATATATATATTTCGATTGAATAAATAGTTATTACCCCCATTGTCCGTGTTTCTTTCTAACCCCCCACCCCGTCCCTCTTTTGTCATTTTTCGAATTAATGGTTTTCCCTAATCCTCCCCGTTGTTTGTTTGTTTTTATTTGGTCACGTGGTAATGTTTTTTTTTTGTTTATTGACTATAAGTATTCCGTTCTTTTTTTACCTTTTAGCCAACCTGACGATCCACTAAGGTGAAACCGTGGTAGGATGTCTGGCTCTCTAGTTTTAACAATATATATATATATATATATATATATATATATATATATATATATATATATATATATATATATATATATATATATATATATATATATATATATATATATATATATATATATATTATATTTGGCCAGCAATCCCTTATTTATGCATGTTTCATTAAAGACGACAGACAAGGTAACCGCGATTAAGCTTTTTATTTAAGTTTTCATGTGTCCGAACAAGTGTTTTCTTATCTGGACACAGAGTATGTAGAAACTGTCCAAGTCTTCCGTAATTCCGACTATACTTTTAGCCATTATCAAGGAGGATTTTATTTTTGCTTTTTAACTGGGTGTATGGGTTGTGTGTATGTTTCCACAGTTACTGGGATGTTTTATTTTCCGAATACAGTCAGCACATTGTGGCCGTATTCATAGTTAATATAAAGTGTTGTTAAGTGTTGTTTTTTCTTTTTTATTATTAAGGTTTTTTTTTTACATGTGGATAAGGTTATTATGATTGTATTTTCTACTAGTATGTTTCGAGTGGAGTTTAGTAGGTTTGTGTGTGTGTTTAAATGGGTTCTGATGGATCTGTGGTCGGATAGGTGTAACGTAAGGCGTCTGGATAGGCATGTAGTAGTGTGACCGATGTAATTATTGATGAGTTCGATTTGATCAAGAACGCAGTTCCTTAAGGGCCATTTGAATTCGTAGATAATGTTCGCTTCGTTGTCAGTTTGATTTTGCTGGTGTGTTGTTATTTTTGAGGATAAAGTTAGTTGTTTTAAATTTTTGGGTAATGAATTTAATTTTTTTTGTTGGGGCCAGATAATGGCTAAATATATGGCCGAATTATAGAACATATGGACAATTTCTACACACTCTGTGTCCAGAAAACAAAACACTTGCAAGAACACAAGAAAAATTAAATAAAAAGCTTAATCGCAGTACCTTGTCTGTCGTTTTAACGAATCACGCACGCACACGCACACATACACACACACACATCATATATATATATATATATATATATATATATATATATATATATATATATATATATATATAAACAATTTTGGGGATAGTTGTAATACATAATGAGACAGGCTTAGGTTGAGGGAGATAAAGACGGATGGGTTGTCAGCATATAAGTATTTGAGCGTCATGTTCAATTCAGTGAATGCACCTAATACCAGGGTATATGAAGAACCACGAATGGGTAGGAAAGGGATACGTGGGAAGAGAAAATGAGAGAAGAAAAAAGAGCGAAAGTGTTCAAAGAGAGACATGTAGTTTAGATTTCTCGGTGTACAATTATATGGATTATGTTATAAAAAGATACACGCAAAGACACAGGAATTAAGAAAAAAAACTGAACCCTGCATATTTGTGTGTGTAAAACTTTAACGACAGACTGCAATTAATGAGTAAAAAGATACTTAAGGCAAGAGACGAAAAAGAATTAGGGTATATCTATGTGTGTGTGTGTGTGTGTGTACGTGCGCGCACGCGCGTGTGTGTGTGTGTGTGTGTGTGTGTATGCAATTAGGTTTCTGGAAGGTTTTTGTTTTATTAATGACTCTATTGTTGTTGACATTGTCAAGGCTCATCGTACATATATATATATATATATATATATATATATATAAATATATATATATATACACAAACACATATATTTTATATATATATATATATATATATATATATATATATATATATATATATATATATATATGTATGTTGGAAATGTATGTTTTAATGCGTAATTATTTCTTATGTAATTTTTGGTTCACGGAAGAAAAAATTGTTAGCGACAAGCTTCGGATATTAAAGCAATACAGGTTCGGAAGCACAAATTTTCTTAAACTATTTGTTATTAATTTCACTGTTTAAGGAAAAAAAACTGGGATAGCTACTCACATTTGTATTCCCACTAGAAATAACACACACACACACACATATATATATATATATATATATATATGTTTATTATGCAGTATTACATTAGGCATGCACATACCCACTACAAAACTTTACATCTTGTTTCAACGTTAAATTTTTTTAACGTTTCATCAATTGGAAAGATCAGTGCGTGTGTGTATGTGTGCGTGTGTATGCATCGCGGATATAAAAATATATATATATATATATATATATATATATATATATATATATATATATAAAGAAATATAGTTTTAGGCTGTGCTATATTAATGGGATAAAGTGCTCAATATCAGAGATAGAGCATATGTAAATATAAATATAAAATTCAACATTGAAGTCAAGACTCACAGGCGGCAGGCTGCTTCATGCTAGACGCAATCGCAATATATATATATATATATATATATATATATATATATATATATATGTAAAATGTATGAAAAAGTGTAAAAAAGTTTGTGTGTGAGCGGTCTCGTCATTTCGGACTAAATTTGTTATGTTGATTCAACTACACATGCGCACGAAATAGGGATGCTGCGAATTTTATTTTTTATATGTTCTATCCGATTTCATTAAGTCTGTGTAATAAACTGACACAAATGATTATATCTGCAAAGACAATAAAATGTAAAATAAATGAAATTTTTCTCATGCTATTTTACTATTTATGTTGATGAAAACAAACACACACACACACACAAATATATATATATATATATATATATATTATTCCAGGTTGATTTTCCAACTTATTCTTGATGATCTTTGTCCTCTCTAACTTTCTAATTTTCTGTGCCTCACAGGTTTCACGTACGATGTCATTTACAAGTCTTTTCTCACTGTTCTTTGAACTGTCATAGCTGATGGTCTTCTCTAGGTAGGTTTGTCTGGCTCACTAGGTGTATCTAGGTCTGCTCTACGGTTGTATTGAGCTCTTTTGTTAGTTAGTTGTTACTCGTATCGGGTTTTTTTCTTTGGGCTTCAGACCTTCATCTGTGCGATTTTTTGTCGGCAGAAGTTCATGTTTGTAGCTCTTTCTTTTTTTAAAACCTTTTTTTCCCTCGAAATTGATTTGATTAACAAATCAAAAATTCGAGGGTTTTTCGAAACGAGTCTAGTAATATATATATATATATCGGGAAATGATATGACAAAGTGAAAAAAGGTTACTTGTCATACATCTCGGTTTCAGTACTTCATCGGTATAAATTTATGTTGGTAGTACTACTTATACGCCTGAGAAATGATCTACTGATATATCCACGTGATACTGATTTACCTGACCTAGTAGATTAACTAAACAAAGTCGAGCACACAATGGAATTTACATACAAATAGAAGAACACAATTCCTTACCTTTCCTAAATATCAAAGCTGCAACGCGTTAAAAACAGTTTAAAACTCGATCTTCACTGGAATTCAACTTATAAATTTCTATTCTTATCATAGCAACAAAATAAAATCCGGCATAATCATCGGATTTTACCTAAGAGCACTAAGAATATGCAGATCGGATTATTTACCCGAAAATGAGAAATATATTGAAAATACTTTCAAACTTCTCCAGTACCCTAATTATTTTATATTCAATGCAAAATAAAAGGCTCATTAAAATATTCCCCTTCCAAAAAAAAAAAAAAATTCAAAAAAATAAACTGCTCCTCCTAAGAAACCCAATGAATCAAAAACAATATTATCCTGCCTACTAACTCTTTAACATCTACAATTGGAAATATTCTATGTAAAATTAACATAAACTGTTTTACTATTACATCCCAAACAAGACTTAGTCAATGTTAAACAAAACAATAAGCTAAAACGTGAAGGAGGAGAAACCTCAATGAATCTAAATAAGATATTATATGAACACAAAAGGGACATTTTGCAAAATAATTGGTCTAATGTGTTGCTTGCTCAGCGTAAACAAACTGATCACAATTCTGTTCAAATGAGAAATAATTCACTACGGCGTAAATGTCTAGAGAGTGCCTTAAATGCATATATATCAGGTCATCCCATAAGTTCTGTCCGAATTTTAACTTTTTGTTAAAATGAACGAAATTTAAAGAATGTTTTATAATGTCTAATGGAGCTGAACATTATTTTTATGTTTAGATGTATTTAAACTGATCAAATTTTATTTCAGAGAACAATAAAATTAAATTTTGTTTGATTAAAACCTTGCTAACATGGAAGTACCCAAGAATCGTTTGAGGCACATAATGCTTTATGAGTTCAAGAAAGGAAACTCAGCAGCCGAAGCGGCTAGAAACATGCACTCAGTTTATGGAGAGGAATGTGTGAATGAAAGAACTTGCAGAAGATGGTTTTCAAAATTCAGAGGTGGAGATTTCACTCTTGAAGATGAAGATCGAACCGGACGTCCAGTTAAGTTTGATGAAAAGCTTCTTGAAGCAGCCCTTGAAAAAAATCCTGCTTTATCAGTTGAGGAATTGGCAGTGGTTCTCAGTTCAAACCATACAACTGTTCATCGTCATCTTCAACAACTTGGAAAAGTTCCTAAGCTTGGAAAATGGGCGCCTCATGAATTGTCTGAAAACAACCTCAAATCCCGAGTTGACATATGTTCTTCTCTCCATTCTCGCCAACTTGTTTCACCGTTTTTGGATAGACTTGTAACTGGCGACGAAAATGGATCTTTATCGAAATGTTAAGCGTCGTAGACAGTGGCTTAGTAAAGGGAAGGACCCCAGCCACAGCCGAGAAGGAACTTCATGGGCAAAAAGTTTCTTCTTTCAATCTGGTGGGATCGCCAAGGAATAATCCACTGAATTCTTACCACCTAATGCAACAATTAATGCTCAAATATACTGTCAGCAATTAGAGCGTTTGAACCAAGCTTTGAGGAAAAAAGACCTGCTCTAGTGAATCGAAAGGGGTGATGTTTCATCAGGACAATGCGCGACCCCACACAGCAAGAATCACGTCACAAAAGATCGAAGAACTTGGTTGGGAGAAAATTCCTCATCCACCTTATTCTCCCGATCTTGCTCCTTCAGACTACCATATGTTTCGTAGCTTACAGAATCATTTGGAAGAAACAGCTTTTGTAACACAGGAAGAGGTTAAAACTGACATTTGTGAGTTCTTCGAATCAAAGCCAAAAGAATTTTACAGTAATAGAATTAGTAAGCTTGTTAATAGATGGAAGGAAGTCATAGATAATCAGGGAAAATATATTGTTGATTGAATCTGTAGTTAAATGTAACATTTGGTCACTTGTTTTTTTTATTCAAAATTCGGACAGAACTTATGGGATGACCTGATATATACGTGATGAATTCGAAGTTCGGTATTGTCAGTTGCGTTCACTTTCAAACTGATGTCCTTAAGAAAGGAATGGAACCATCCCCCCCCAACAAGGTATAGGTTTAAATAGAAAGGCAGAATCCTGTATCAAGCCTTGAATAGAGACCAGGCTAGGAGAAGAACTACTCTGAATTCAAATTCATGGATAATGAAATAAAAAAACGAATACAGACAAACAGCAATAGACAGATTTATAGATAGATAGAGAAAACGAGATAGATAGATAGATAGATAGATAGATAGAGATAGAGATAGAGAGAGAGAGAGAGAGAGAGTGTGTGAGGTCGAGAGAAAAAGAAAAGGAGGAATATAGTCCGACAAGTAATGAAAGGGAGGGAGATTTCATGTACGTCTCTATCAATACATCATTTTGAGAAATTATCCTTGCAAGTTAGATCAATCGGATTGTGGATATTTTTAATATTTGTTACAAATTACATCGATATTCACTTAATCTACTCAGTGCAGGTGACACCCATTACGTGATACACACTTGGTTAATCATGACTGAAGCAAGGCAGGTTTCTCGCAGTTGGCAGTCGTTTCTTTTTGTGTTTGACTGGTTGACAACCAAGGCTACAGGAAGCAGTCTTTCATGTTATTCAACCCATAGCTGCGGAGAGAAGAGATGAATTCTTAACCTTCGTAAGGTTATCTGCACATAAAGAAATGTAACGAATCCGACTGGAATTCGAAACCGTCACTTCTATTTCTCATTCCGAGCCATTACCCACCCTGAAATACTAGTTCAAATCTTAGTATATCTAAAATATATTTAAAAATCATGAGTTGTGTGTGTGTGTGTGTGGAATTATATTTTTTTTATGTAAACTTACACCACTTATATACGTTCTATTGTTCTTTTAATAGAATTGATCATGTTCGTTTAGGTTCAAAAAGATAAATAGAAAGAAATACACAGTATGTATTTGTGGGCTCGTGTGTGACTCCTGCACTCCCCCACCCCGTGCATGGATACGTCCCTTGCTAATTCATCAATTTGCACATGAGT